ATCACAAAATTGTACCGCTTTGATTTGATCACCGTGCCGGCGACTTGCCCGTCGAGCAGTGAGAGTAATGTGGTCCGCCAACGTCGCGAGCGAATTGGTCGAGGAATTCAACCACCCCCCCCCCCCCCCCCCCCTGTGCCGGTTGAAAATGAATGACGATGTTCGTCGAAGCAACGGCAAAAAACAATTTTGTGTCGTCGACAACACGCAGTCGGGTGTCCACGCAAAAGGGGAGGGGGGGGGGGCACAGACTGAGCGTGTGACGACGGTGAGGTCGACAATTACCTTGAACAATTCACTGCTGGATGAAGGCCCCCACCCCCTCCAACTGCCCCCCCCCACTCCCCACCACCCGGCCATCGCCATCGGCCCGTACCTTCGCGCGAGCCGGATTTCATCACTCCACCTTGGCGGCGGGCGCGTTCCCCTCCCTTGCCTGCCATTCCACCTTTGCTCTCGACCAGCAGCACTCGTCCCCTTCGAGTGACGTCTCCTGCCCAAGCGTTCCTTGACCCGTCGAAATGTCTTCTAGCCAGCGCGTGCGCTCTCTCGTTCGCGCCTTCCTCTTCCCGTCTCTCCGGTGTAATTCCAAGCAATGTGGATTTCCTCCATGCTTCTGTAGGCGTTGTTCGTGTTTTAGTTTTTTTTAAGAGGTCACACCAAAGGCAGAGACATCTGTTCATCCTTAGCACCGTGCCAAGACTGGCACGGTGCACGAGTCGGCGCCGTGAAGTCTCTCACCGGTCGTCGCTGTGATCTCGATACTGCCAGGTTCCTCGTCGGCCAGTTGGATTGTGCTACCAGCATCCTTACAAGAATAGAGGTTTTAGACTTGGATCGCGTAAATATGTGACGTTAAACCCGCCACCACCCGACACAGCCAATTAGTAAGGTTTGTCATGTAAACACAACATGCCAATTGGTTACTGTTTCAGCACACCGCTGTGTTGGAGAGTAAACCCGCAACATTTACAATTTACTCTCCAACACACAGGTGTGAATTTGTAACTTTGGCACATTTTGTTTACGTCACAGACCTTAATTGGTCGCGTTGGGTGGTGGTGGGTTTAACGACAACTATATTGACGTGATCTAACCCAAAACCCTCTGGATAACATTGGTCGTGAAAGTCGTAGTACGTGTTTTTAATAAACATCCTTACAAGAAGCTGCAGTCAAAGCGATTTCCTGCTCAAATGAGCACCAAGAGACTGCTCATCTCATCTGCACACAGGCCTGAGTCGGTGGAAATTTCCCGTTCGAATGGGCAGGGGGCAAGTCTTTCGATTGGGACAACCAAGGTAGACTTGTCCACAAAGTTGTAGTCAGTTTGTTGATCCCCCCCCCCCCCCCGGAGACGAGATGATGGGCGGACTCAACCCCCACCAACCAGAATCTTAACCTGCAACCCCTTTGGCTTGTGAGCTGCTCCCCCTCATGCCGAATCACGTGGCTAGACAGGACCTTTTTACGTTCACGTACATGTCGTGATGTATAAATGGCGAAACATTTGTTTTAATCGTTTCTCCTTGCATGTTTACCCCGAATATGAATATCTTGTTTTGGGGTGGCGTTGGGGGGTGGGGGTGGTATGGTTTTAATGCCTCCTGTTTTTCTATTTAAAAAGAACAGCTTATCTCCTGGGCTGGGCGAAGTCGCATTGCTTCGTTGGGATGAAATATTAATGAGGACTCTGCACACCAGGTGCACAGAATCGGGTTCTCAAGTTTGTTTCTTTTCCCCCCGACGCGAATCGAGTTACGACAAGGCCCAACACAGCAACCAATTACGATGCTGGCGATGTAACTCGTTTAACCACGAGGGTGATTGCACCTTAAAGCTATCACAAGGACAATGCGGGAATATCAAACGTATTGTGAGCAACGGGATCGGTTATTTTAACACATCGCACCTCCCCACTGTGCGAGAGCGTTGAGAAGCTAACGGAGCCCAAATGCGGCGCGTGTCACATTCGGCGATCATCGGGGTCTTTGCTGTAATTCCGAGACCGTGGAATTGTGACGATGCCTAATTCGCATCGTCATAATCCTCATCGACCGTGATCAATCCGCTGTTGGACGAAGGCTGCCCCGGCCGTTGCTAATATTTCGCAATACCGTGATGTAATAAGCCGTCTGATTTGATCGCTCTATCTCTGCGGGTGAACGTGCTCTCAGTCGTACTCCGCCCCATCGTCTCTTCCAGCGATGGTGTGTCCTGCCCACAACCGTCGATATGTGCTCAGATCCATCCGCTCCTTTTTCCTGTCTCAGAATAATTCAAAGTACTCATAAATATTCAGTACGCTCTCTGTGTGCGATTAACGACACAATTACTGTGTTCATCTTCATTCGGGATCTTAAACACCAAACAAAACTGAACCTTGGCTAAGCCTCTACACGCCCGTTGAGCCACGTTCTGTTACAGGCACAGGGTATCTGCGTATTCATTTTTAATACGCTTGCGTGCAATTTGCCCGACCCAGAGAGATCTTGCCATCATGCACTGGCACCCATTGAGAAAAAAAAAAAACACATTCCTGCGTAGGGAGCTGGTAGTAGGAACGTTGGGTTGCTCGGTCAACGGCCAGGGTCAACGGCGGCACCACGTGGTGTATTCCGCACAATATGCCCGACTGAGTGCGGGCTTTGCGGCTTCTAATGTAGACATTGAGAGCAGCCGCATACTCCGGAACGCATGTTGTTGCTTCTCCACGTAGAGGGAAAAATGTCGTGAAGATGGCCGGACGTGGTTGGTGGCCACCCACCCCCTTCGTGTGTGCGTGGCCGCCTTCCCCACCCAGCCCCTCCCTCTCCACCCAGCCCACACCCCACCCTCCCTCTCCACCCAGCCCCACCCTTCCCATTTTTGGATGCACCACGGACGGACACAATAATCCCCTGTGGGCTGGTGGAACCAGGAGGTTCCTACCAGTAATATGAACTGAGGTGTATATCAAAATCATCATCGGCCACGATCATCATTAGCCATGGTCCTACCCACTGCTGGATGGAGACTTCGAAAGCCACTGTCATTTGCGACGTCAATCGTGCACAGCGCTTACAAAGGGGGCACACTTTATACATTGCTATCGCGAACGGTCTTGTGCGACGTTAATTGTACGCAACTCAAAAAAAACAAAAGCATTTCATGAAATCTGGCACTTATTGTAATGAACCACCGATGTAACGACCAAAGGTCACGCTTGTTTCCGAAAATAATGGCGGCAGTCTATTCATGTTAACGCCAATGGCTCCTTCGCTGTCAATTTGTCATCCACGGGGCTCTCGGGGCACGAGAGAGAGAGAGAGAGTCATGGTTGACCAAAGCTCTTCCCCGCAGCCCAAATGTGGTGTGCGATCCCTTGCCAGGTGTGACCGAAGATACCGTCTAGATAGATGCTTCTGCCTCCGATGGGCACGGTTGGCTGCGTACGGTGAGAAATAAGTTATGTATGCATGCAAGTGGTGTTTCACCACCTGTTGTATTTAAAACAATATTTAGCCACTTGTTTATTCAACCAGGTCAGGGCCACAGAGCTATAAACTCTTTTTCAGAAGTGACCTGGCCACAAATGATAGCTCAACTATAAGTAGCTTACGATGGGGAAATTTAATTACGTGGAGGGAAAAACCAGGCGACCCGGAAAAAAAAATCCCAAGCGACCACGGGGAGAGACACACACGCAAACTTCAAATACACGACCGTCAGGGTTGGAACCAAACCCGCAACCCCTTGTATACCAGGCGAGGTAGTTAACATCTCGCCACCACGGCACCCACTGCAGGCCCGCTGACCGGAGCCGCATGCACAAAAGGAGCGCTTGCTCACAGCATCTAAAGATAAAAATGAAAGCCATTACCGCAGTGGAGGGTATATTGGAGGTCGCACTCGCATCGCTAAATCATTTATACTGCTGTGCGTTAATTCGACCCAAGTGAACGGCGACTGGAGTTTTCATCGTTGCCGTGTAAATCTCCCCCCTCTTTGTATTTCGCTGTGGACGCATCTCCAGTGCAAGCACAAATGATCGCAGGCATGTCGTCCACACCGACCGTGTCCAAACATCGCAAGGTAGATGCCGCCCCATCTCCTGCACCACAGGTGGAATATTAAAGAGCCCACGTTGTGACCGTGTACAAGAGCCAAACTATGGCCCAAATAATCAAAAATGCATTCCTCTGCAATGACCATTGAACAGCACAGATACCCAGCATCATCGCCTCTGCAGCCACCTTCCCTGCACGGCCGGTTAGCACGGCTGGCTGAGTACGGTGCGAAAGGAGTTTATCCGTACATACTCCACATGTCTCGACATTAATGACCACCACTGCCGATCAACCGCCCTCCTTTGCTGTACAACAGCAGAATAATGGGAGGCATTGGTGGCGGTCTGACACGATGGCAACAAGTTTTTAGTTGGAATCGCAATGCTCGCTTGGCCTAACGAGTCCAACAAAATGTCCCAATTGGGTCTGAAAAAATCGCTTCGTTGGCAAAAGTTTGCGGGAAAAAGTTTGCGACCAGTGGAAGACGAGAGGCAAGACCTGTAGATGAGTGCCAGATTTTTTAAAAAGGATTTCAGAAAGCATTCGATAATTACATAAATTTGGGAAAATAAAGACACATGCTGGCATCAGGAGAGCCAATCATCCCACTGCTAATATCGTGCGCTGCACATTAGGTAAGGCAGACCACGCTGCTTCGAGGCACTCTGACGTTTAATTTGTTTCCTACGACTAAGACGTTTACTTTAATCCCATCACGGAAGCGCTCATGAAATCTACTAACGAGGATTGTGGCAAGGACGAAAAAATAGTGGTGCACGGCAGAGGTTCGCAACATACGCGTCCGTGCGTTCGCTCGTGCGCGCGCGTTGTCTCCTGTGCGCCAGGGGTTGGCGGTTGTGATGGGGGGGGGGGAGCCCCCTTCGTGTTGAAACGTTCAAACGGAGAAACGGCACGGGGAGAGCGCTCGGGAGAACGAGGCGTCGCTTCTTACCAGTCCGTGTGCCGATCGTCGATGACGAGCAGGACCTTGGGCCGCTTGGCCGCGTGAGATGAGGACTGGTCTCCCAGCCCGGTCGTCTGCTTCACCGCCTGAGACAGCGAACTGAAAAAGCCACCGCCGCTGCCGGTCACCGGCGGAGCCATGGAGGCGGACGGGACGGTCTGCATGGACTGCCGGCGCTCGGGGGCGGGCGAGGTCGCGGTGGAGGTGGCGGTGGCGGCGGCGGCGGCGCCGGTGGCGGTGGTGCCGTCGGGCCGTTGCAGGTCCATCATGTATCCGTTGGGGAGGTTGGTCATGAAGTTGCTGTCGGAGAGGCGGCGGCGGAGGAAATTCATGTTTGCTCTCGTGGGATTTTTTTTTGACGCGGGGACAGAGGCGGCGTCGGCGACAGTGCAATTTGTTGAGAGCGTGACGACGTCAAGACGGACGACGTTGTGGTGAAGATATCGCCAAAGGACGACGGGTGGTGACGGTGGCAAAAGCCTTCTATCGGGTTTTGGCGTAGATGCAAAGAGGAGTATTGAAAATGTAAGCTTGCTTAGAAAAAAAAATACTTTGCGTTAGGGATGAATTATGTATGGCTTTAGGAAGTCACAGCAGCCGGGCAAGCCTCGGAGTAGTCCTCGATTCTTCAGAAATGTCTCGGCTCTCGGAGACCCGGATTTGTCCTCTGCCACCTCCCTCCTGCTCGAGTCCTGCGTTCTGCTGTCTCGCTCTGCCACGAGCAGTTGATTTTCAATGCCGAGCAGAGCACCAGCTGCTCTCCTGCAATCACCCACACCCACTTTCAGCCAGCCCTCCCTCCCTCTCTCTTCCTTCCCTCTCTCTCTCCAGCCCTCCCACCTCCGAGCACCATTCACTACAGGGCGCGCACGCACCCCACGCACGCAGCGCAAAGATCCGTATCGACTGCCACTCGCTCGGCGCTCTTGCGTCCAATCGCCAGCGGTGCCTGGGGTGGTGGCTCCTCCTCGCTCTCTCTCTCTCATTTCTTTTCCCCCCCACATCCCCACCCACCCCGTTTCCGATAGCAAACGTCTGCTGCCCCGGCGCTCGGCAAATCTCTCTGCCGTGCCAGCAGTAGCACCGCCTGCTATCGCGCCAGTCGCCCGCTCGCCTTGCTAATCCGCTGTTAAATTTAATTAAAGGGACCCACTTCCTCCACTCCATTAGTGCGCATCTGGTTTTGGGCCACGACGAAAAATGGGCGCACATGAGAGGGCCAATTGCTCGTTATGCTTCACCTTTGGCAGAGGTCTCGTTGATCCTTCTTCTTTTTAACAAGTACAGTGTGCTCTCTTATAACGCGGTAGTAGTTACGTTCCTGAAGAACGCCGCGTTCTGGAAAAAAAATCGTGTTTTATAGTAAATAATATCGGGTGAAGCACAGCCCGCGATAACACGTGAGGTGCGTACGCAGGCTGAACAAAGACCGAGGCGCGTGGGCAGCATCTAGAAGCATCCAGCAGTATCCCAGTGCCCTGTGTGGCGCTACGCCGAGTCAGCCGCTGCAACCGCTTGGTTCCTACTCGTGCGGCATCGTTCTGTTCGCTCGATCGCGTTATATCTAATTTGCATCCGCGCTATAACAAAATGTGTTTTCTAATACACTGCGTTCTATCCAATTTGTGTTGTCAAAACAACACGCATTATAGGAGGACAGACTCTAAGGGGAAGGGAGCTGTGTAACATTCTCCTGGTGCAGCTCGTTAAAAAAATCTTAAACGATGACTGCAGTTTTGTCCATTACTCATTTGCAATAATGTTCCATTGTGTGTGTGTGTTTTTTTAAAGTTTTGCTTGTAATAACCCCCTGGGATTTGTCCTGAAGTATAATTCATACCGAGTCCTATTAATTTCACAATGGGCCTGACTCTCTCTTGCCCCGTTTTAATTTAAAATACCATTATGCATGTGCGCCATTCGTGTATATATATATAAAACATATAAATAATATATAAAATATATATGGAGTGGATAAGTAATAGATGTTCTAGATTTGAAGCTTTCGTGACTGCAAGGATCCATACTCTTTGGTTCTATTCGGTAAAGTCACGTAGGTAAAAAATAAAACAACAAAAATCACGACGTTGCGGCCACAACACAAGTGGCCTTCATCAGGTGAAGGGGCCGTGCTGTCATGAGGACAGCGTTGGAGTGAATACAGCCAAGCCCAGGTCGCGTCCTTGAAGCTGTGTGGGAGGAAACAAAACGCTTTGACAAAAGAATTGGCATAAAATGAGCATGATGTACGTAGGAGGTACATGATGGACCATGATGGACCAGGTGCGGGGGGGGGGGGGGGGGGGGAGGACCATGATGGACCAGGCGCGGGGGGGGGGGGGAGTTTACATAATGTTGGTGTGGAGATAAATAAGCAGCTGTGAGTTTGGGATACCACTACTTGAAAAAATATACTGTACCATTGAAAATTTGTTTAATGTTTGATTTAGAACATGTTTCCAATGATTGCTTAATTTGAAACCATCCTCTCAGATTTACAAAAAGACACAATTTCAACCGAGAGTCTCTCTCAATCCCAGCAAGCAACATGGAATCACACACAACACTGAATTTTTATTTTATGTTCCCCAAACACGAATTCGCAGTAATTGTAAGTGGTACACAGCTTCTATCGTCAGCACTTTTACGTGCCTATTTGCTTGGATGTAGCGGACGGCACAATGCATCGTGCGGATTGGGTCCAAGACTGCTCGCTGCCCTGCAAGTATGAAAAATAAGAATGAGTTTTAGCCTTTCTGGCAATAAAACGTGTGTTAAGATGTTCAAACACCAAATAGATACTTTTGCAAGGAATCAAGTCTACATCAACCACACGTACCTGTGGTGAACATGCAAACAAAGATGCTCTAATAATATTTACTTTGTCCTTAACTGATTGACCTCCACCAGAGAGAGCCTTCTATATATGGCCTTGTCTCACCCGTAACAGACCAGAGAACGCCAAAAGGCGAACAGTACAAAGACAATGCACGTATCGGAGCATTTTTTCGCTCGGGGTGAGCAGCTATGTCATGGGACCTCTTTGCCAGAATCAAAAGTATGAAAAATAAGAATAGGTTTTCCCCTTTCTGGCAGTAAAACCAGGTGCCCTGCACGTGTTCACATTGGGATGACAAGCACTGTGCATTGAAAGGGTGACCTCCGTTCATCCGTGGCCGTCCCACCCAGATTTGGCAGGAAGGGATTTTGCCCTCCAGCCCGGCACACAATTGGATTCCGACGTCGGAGGAAGTTTAAAAACGGGGAGGCGGGGGGGTGCGTGAAACGTCATTTCGGCAGCCGTGCAGCCCGTTCCGATATCAAAAGGCGTATATATATATTTTTTACCACCGTTTAAATGTGTGGCACCATTCTAATGAAAGGCAGGCCATAACCCACGGATAACGCCATGCAAAGAGATGGAGAGAGACAGCTTGGGCGGAAGGGAGGCCGACACAATCCGTCCAGTAGCACGGCCCCGCGTCGAGGCTCTGTGCTTATTAAACAAATTCATTCCCCGCCGTCGGAGCCGCCTAGCGCACGCCGCTGCGATCCCCGAATCCCCTCCACGAGGATTGACCATGGCACCGGCACAACCCCCGTGCTCGCGGTGGTTATAAGGGGGCCTCGCACGGCGCGCGCTGATGATGGAACTGTTTAATATTTTGATAGGGTTTAGTTTTCATTCTCCTTCTCATCTCTTGCTAAAGGCTGCTTCCGATTTAGCACGTATGGCCTACTCGCGGTGTAGAAGTGCAACGTGCATACAAAGGTTGCGGGCAACGTCTCTGCTTAACCCTGGCCAGCTGGCTCGAATCTTGACGAATAAATTCGTGTAGCTTGACGCGGTGGAGCTTTTTGTTTAAAAAAGTTTTTTTAAAGTTTTTGTTCCACCGAGTGACGTCACTGCTCGGAACAAGCTTCTCCCCACCGAGCACGTGAATGTTCCACACGGTGGCTCCTGGAACGGACAGCGGGGGAAAATCTGACTCCTCACTTAATCTTAAGTTGCTCCGTGGACTACTTGCAGCTCGTGCATCTGAAGCCGACACAGTGAGTTGTAAACGAATTGGAACGTCGGGGTTTTTACTCGCCCCATTCTACGGTTCACATTTATTTTCGGATTGGGCCGCAAAGTACATTCCATGCTAAAATTCTTGTCGCGAACCCTCCACCACTGGAGAATCTTGTCTCGTTTACAAAGATATTATTCATACGTATTGATCAAATTGACCAATTAGGCACCCACACGGAGGAGGTGGGGGGGTGGGGGGCTTAAAACGTTCCATTCCTGCGCTTTAAACACCAACGTAGGACAACATTTCACCGAAACTGCTTTTGACGCTTCTTCCAAGCTGTGAAGCCTGTGTGAAACCAACAACCGCCAAAGAATGATCACGCGGTCTAGGTGGGTCCGTTTGTGTTGTTGTAAACGGCTAGTTAACATAACAGGGCCTCTAAAATAGCACCGACCTTATCGAATAATTAGACATCCGCCGTTTGGCATGGCCCTGGTGCAAGGAATTCAATGGAGTGCCCCCCCCCCCCTCCTCCCTCCTGTCCAATTGTCTCCCTCTTCCTAGCCCGGCACATTGGCCCTCTCAGATCCTCAGCTCCCCCCGTGAAATTGCACCGCCTGCACACACGTTCGATAAGCGATGCCACGGAGCTGAAGAGCAACATTACGTAATGGCTGATAGAGGAAAATTGCGGATCGAGAGATGGCATTGCACAGGAAAACAAGAACAACATGCTGCCGAAGCAACGCAAAACTGTCATGGTCCAAGAAAGGCAGGGTTTTTTTGTTGTTGACAGTCATCGGATTAAGTGGCTGAAGTAAACGGATTACGAAGTTCATTTGTGCAGCAATCGGGGGGGGGGGGGGGGAAGGTTACCAATTGTATACGAGTATTTGTGGATAACTGTTTGCAGGAGAGGCTTGATTCAAATTTTTGAGAAATTCAAAATTTGTGTGTTGGTGATATAATTGGAGTACCGTGTTTATAACCGACACATACAAGAACTCCCAACGGCACACAGATGGATGATCAACCTTATTTGCTCTGCTGCCGTATACAGGCTGTCCTGCAGGTAAGTGGGTGTTTTGCTTATACAGTCTCCGTGATCCACCAACCCCCAGCTCCACAGTCTCTAGATCACAGACAAACAGGTACACTACGCTCGGATATCAATGGCCATAACCTGAATCGGAAATGTTTTCCTCAATGTTTTTTTTACATTTGCAAACGAAATTTAAATGATGTTATATATGCGCATTTGCAATGGATGTGTGAAGCCGCGTAGTGACATTTCAATTTGTCCTTGCGCGCCA